TAGAAAAATCTTCCATGGATGCTGCTCTAGAGTAAAAGTCGTCATCACTATCTCCATAACATCACAAACTAAAGTGTCAATATTTTATGAACATGTCTGTTGACAGTATATAAATTAAGTAAATATTGTATTAGTGAGCTTGTAACTCTGATCTTTATAAAGACAACAGAGGTGAATGTTAAGGAAGGAGTCTGATATATCAAATATACTGTATTTATTTTCAATGAAATGATGAAAGCTTTTTACCTCATTTAATGAATGGTTTCAAATCTGCAATGGTATTTTGGGAAACCCCTATCATGTTATCAACATTGTGCTTGTTAACTACTCATTACTCAATCTAATCAGCAAAAAAGAATGGCAAATAGAAAGCCTATTTAGGTCCTAATTGATAATACTGCTAGCATTTTTAAGGTATTGGAAGTACAAATAAATGGTTCTACATTTTAAAACCACTTTGATGTGACAGATTAGAGTTTCTGCAAATAGGCTGTTTATTAAAAACTGTCTTAGTGGTTTTGAACTTTCAGATTAGAGTATTAAATCAAACAAGCATCTTAATTACATGATATAATATAAACATGGTGTAGGACTTTAGAGGTCAAGAATCTATTCATAGAAAATATTGGGGTACATGTATGAGTAGTGCAATGTACTTTAGAAAAATAAGACAAGCTTTAATAGAACCTATCTAAGCCATAACAATTTTAATTGGAACAGTACAAGTTGATATAAAGAGAATATATAAATTATCAAACATCTGAATTTTGGGCAATACATGAAAGATGCTAACAGTCAAGTACCAATTGACACATCTATCGTTACTCCAGAGGGCGAGTTCCTTAACATCAATAATCCTGTAGATTGTATCCTTAATCACATTTTGACATCAAGAGAAGTCAAAAGACAAAAGAGACAAAGTAAATAATATTTACTTTATTGATTTATGTTACACTTTAGAGAAAGGGATTCCCTAACATTCCAAGTTTCGGTCATGTTTCTTTGAGTATTTCATTGAGTTAATTATCACTGAAATATGCTAAAAGTTCACAGTTCTGGTTAGTGTAAAATTCACTTAGTTAACTGAATAAGTACCAGCTTTAATTCTCTTCTTAGCACAAATATTTTTCTATTAGGAAGAAGATCAAGGTAAACACACAAACGGTGCTATGTTGGTGTTTCAAATCCTACTACAAACTAACTCAAGTGTTAAAATTGTGTTGCTTCTGGCTGTAAGTCAGTGTCATGTCAAATTTATGTTTTATCACTTTTTTTCTTGTCAGATTGTCTGTACTGAAAACAGCATAAATCGTTACGAGTGGAATTATGATAGGGGAACATCAGTATTAGTGTACAAGCAACAACATCTGAAGCAAGATTCTGCATAAAACACATTGAACAAACAATACATGAAAATATTCTTTACATTTTAATACAATATATTTATTAATTGCACTTAGTTACTTTACTTTTTTACCATGCATAATTTGAACTTTATGGTCAATACCATTTTAAGAAGTTTCATATTAAAAAGTTATCAAAACAATGTTTCTATGACATACTTTTTATTAATCATTTAAAAGTATCATAAAACAGTAAACTAAGATTATCAACAAAATTTAATATGTGTCTAATTGTGGGAATATATCAATTTTACATATATATGTGAGCCAGACAGGTTTAGGTTACTAGAGTATGAGTTTAATGGATTTTTTTTAAGTTGTTTCTCGTAACTTGTGCTTTAAATGGCTAGTTTTATTTATTTTTAATTTTATAATTTCAATCTATATGTACTTTTAAATGCAGCTCTTTTATTATATTTCACCTTTTTAAGCTTCATCTATACAGTTAGTTCACATTTTAAAAAAATATTTTTAGTTTATTGAGTTATTTCAAATCTGTTTTGAAAGTACAACCTAAGTCTGAAGTGCATGACATGTAAAACTATGACACTGATTACAATCAACTATTTGACTTGAAGAAACAAATTTTCAAAAAAATAAAATTTTAATATTGTAATTATAATTAAATATTTAATTATGACTTATAATCCAAACTGGCTATCAGAACAATTTCTAAAATAAATAAATAAGTACATGTACATAAAACTGTACAAATCACTTCCTCTCCTAACCAACATGAAATCTTTAAAAATATCTGTTTATACAAAAAGTACTGGCATATTTGAAGCTTGTGAGTGATACAAAAAGCTGCATTTTTTTAGTTTCTATGAGATATAGTAACTAATATATATTATTTATGGTGAGCTAAGTCAAACAAGTACAATATATTTAGTTTTCTATATTTGACATTGATCATACAATAAAGATTTATGTACTTATTCATTAGTTATTGTTGCTTTTATATCTATAAATGCATATATAAAACATACCTTTAGCTTCTTTTGACTTAAGTCATTTCCTTCAATGTAAAAAGAACACGTAAAACTTGATTTAAGTAAACTGGGATCAGGAGGAGGAGGAAAAGGAAAATTTATCATCTTGGGCTCAGAGCAAAGAGGAGATAAACAAGTTCAAAACATGTTTTCCAACAACTGTTGTCAGTTCTACATTTTAGTGCTTAAGCACTTGGCTTATGAAATAAATATTATGTTTCACTTCAATAAATGCACCTACAATACAGAGCTGGCCCTTTTGTGGAAAAACACCAGAACCATCATGCAGTGCACAGAAATTTTCTTATGTATCCTCAAAAACAGTACTTAAGCTTAAATGTCAATAATTAATTTCACAGTTAACAAGACCAAGCCTGATATTCTCAGCAACTGGATCTCTCACTACATGTACAAACAGATTGCTAGTAAATGGACATGTGACACTCCACACATGTAAACTCAGAAAAGTGGCCTAATTCTCAGGCTCCACCTATAGGGCATCTCTTACTTGACAGAGCTGGTTCTCTATCAGTCATCAAACAAGTTTTTTTCTATGTCAGAAGTTAATCTTTTAAACTGTGAACAGATCAACTGATCTATCTACATATACCAATAAAATAAAAGAATTACGACATGCACAATGTCTTCAGTTTCTTTTAAAAACAAATTAATTCCCTAATTTAAATTTGCTAACTAATTTAAAAGTAATAGAAAACTTTTTACTTCAAATATTTATTTCTAATATAAATTAAGAATAATATAAAATTTATTTATTTATTCTAATTTATTTATTCTTTATTTATTTATTTATTAAATCAATCTTTGACCCAACACAATCTCAGCCCACACACCAGAATCATTGTTCAAAAATTTCCAAATGCTTTTAATTTATATCTTTACATGTAATTAAATGTTAGTTATGCAACTGTATAATCTTAACTGCTATTTCATGTATTTCCTACATGTTAACTTTGAACAATATCCATCCAGTGAGTATTTTTTCAAACTTAAAGCTTTATTAATTGAAAGTGAACTACAGTGACCTTCATATAACACTTATTCTCAATGTTCAGTATATATATATATATA